TACCTAGTGCACCAAAAAAGCATTACTAACAGAGTCGGTTGAAAACATTCTTACCATAAAGAAAAAAGTCAAGGGAAAAATTAAGCATTTCAAGATATCTTTATGGACAGAACATATATATATTTGGGACGCCGGCAAATAAGCTCACTGCAGCAAAAAAAAAAAAAAAGCTACGGCTTGTATATCGATCTGAATGTCGCCCACTTGGTTACCAGGACTATCGAAATTTTCGACACAAAAATAATTTTGATCGATCAGTTCAAAACAATTTCAATTAATTAAACGCTCTTGCGAACGATACTGACTGGCGAGATCATAGTTTCTTTTGTAGTAGAGGCATAAAAGCTCCTGAAATCGAGACAATTGTCGTTGAAATCTACAGTTGTAGATCGATTGAGATAAGACAGAAGTGTTTTAATTTTGTTAAAATCTCCAAAACTAACAATGAAGCGCACACTAACTGCAAAAAAAAAAAAAACCACGACAAAGAAATTCTTACTCACTTTGCATCCAATCGGATAGAAATTTTGTTCTCTTGTGAAACGGTTTTCTTTATTGTTTTTATTTTATTAAAATTTTCGTTTCATTCTCCAATTTTTCGCATTCGTCTCTTAATGTTGTAATTTCATTGATATTTCGCGCTCTTAAACGTTCCAATTGCGTGTGTATGCCAATAGTCCGCTCACGTAAATTATTCACTGAAAATTGACGTAAACGTTGCGGTTTAAAAACGTCTTCTTTGATTTCCTTTACGGAGCAATAAAAATCTTTAACCGATTTTTGCAATTCTTGATGATAGGCGAGAAAAGCATTATTCAGATCCGATTTCAAAACATTGATTTCATTAATAAGACCGACTATGTCCGTATTATTATCACAAGCTGAATAAGCATTACTGGCATTATTCGTATTATTCGTATCGACATTGTCCATGAAATTCTCCGGCAATAAATTAATTTGATTGCATTCTAAATATTTTTGTTGCGCTTTGAGACGAGTTAACTCGCAAAGGAGTTTCGTGTAATTTCTGCATTTCGGTATTACACCGCCGCCGCTGCTGCTCGCGGCATGAGAAGCAATTGTAACGTTACTGCTGTTGCCACTTTTAACAGTTAAGTCCGAATAGGTCGGGGTTGGTTTATTGCCATCAACTTTCTTTTCAATCAATTTCATTCTTAATCTCTCTGGAGGCTGGCGCTGCTGCAGGTTTTTCTTACTTTTTTTTTTTTTTTTTTTTTTGTTGCAAAAAAATTTTTTTTTTTTTTTTTTTTTTTACAAGTCCTTAAATGAAAGCATTTGTCGTTTTATTGAAGCTAATGTTTTTTGTATCAAGTAAACTGTTGTTGTGAAAATTATGCAGTAAGAAGGTGTGACAAGTTCACGTTGTTTGATTTTGATTTTTATGTTGTTGTTGTTTTTTTGTTTTGTTCTCATTCTTAGATTTTTATGTCAAATGGTTTCTACGGTTGTTGTTTAGAATTGAAAAACAGTTTTATTTTTTTTTTCTTTTCTTTAAAGAGTGAAAAAAAAAAACGCCATTAAATAAGATACCAAAACAGCACCCATTTATGACGGAAAGGAAGATAAAGTCCGGGTGTTTGCTATATAAGTTGGTTTCAATTTTCTGCTTATATAACTGGGGTTGATAAACATATTCCCTGGTTACTCTGTTTAATCGATGTTCTGGTAGCTAACCTAAGGATTTGTTTTTTTTTTTTGTTTTTTTTTTTTTTTGTTTTCCAATCTACAATCCGTTTACATTTAATCACAAAAGAACTGGTTATAACAGAATTAATCAGTGGATCCCTAACTTTTTCATTATATATATATATATATATATATATATATATGTAAATATCTATCTATGATCTGATGCTCTACAAAAGGGTTGCTTTTCCTCTCTTCCAATTCTCATTCATTCGATGTTTTTTTAATTTATATATATACGTGAAATTTTGAAATTTAAAGAAGAAGAGGAAGAAGATGTAAAACTGAGCTTAAGCAGATTTGAAAGAATTTTCCAAGGATGAATAGATTTGCAAACACCTTAGGAAAATTGACATACCCGCGATTGCTAGAACTACATCACTATTATTATATGCACATTATCGACAAGAATAATAACAACACTATTATCTATGACAACAGAAATATTATATTATGTCAATACATTGCTCTCACTTTCTCTTTCTCACGCTTCCGCTTATCAGTAAACGCAATTATTAACTTTTGGACTCCCTCTTCAAACGAATAGAACTAAGAAATTTTTGTACTTACTATTAGGAGAATTTCATAATTCTTGATATCTGTTTTGTAACGTACAAGAAGGGCACGCGCAGCGGAATACGGAGCAAAATTTCACCTGAAGCAATAGGCCATAATCGTTAAGGTTTCAGATTGGATCTCGAGGGACTCGAGGGATAACAAGGTTCACAAAAATTCAAGCTTTTAGCATGGGCCTTATGGGACTTGAAGAAAGCCTATAACTAGTAATGGATTGCACTGGATAATATTCTCTCTTGCTTCTTCTTATAGAATATTTTTTTTTGGTAAGGTTTTAGATTGATTTGAGGAATAAAAAGATTCACATAAATTCAAGGTTTTAGCATGGGCCATATAGGACTCAACAACTGTATTGGACTGGATAATACTCTCTCTTCCTTCTCCGTATACAATACTTTTTGTAGTATTAAAGCGACAGTGTATACTATATCTCGCTGAACTTGAAACCACACAGTTTCTTAGAAACGTGCATAGGTCGAATAATGGTTCAAAATAGACTTCAGCGAAACTATTAACTGCTATTCTTATTTGTTTCTATTTAAATCGCATAAAAGTGCAATTGAGGTCTAGCCTTTGCGGCGCTCTTCGACTTCGGGTCGTCGGTGTAAATTTTTCTCGCCATTTCTTTCCTATTAGTATCTTGTTGCATAGGAATCATCCGCTGATCAAAACAAAACTTTAACTTTCACTCTTGATAAAAAATGAATGCTCTACAATAACACATAATTCGCGAAGTCCAGGTGAATAATTAATATCGACAGAGAAGCGGAATATTAGCTGGCAACCCTACATTACGTATGTTCCACAAACACCTGCAGTGATCTGACGGAGTCATCACTAGAGAGATCCCTGCTGACTGCAACACGCGAAAAGACTAAGTAAAGCAATTTTTAAGTTGACAGCGCTCGTTCTATGAGAGTACTCATCCAGACAATGTAAACCGTACTGATGCAGATGTTAGCAGTAATATGCTATTTTCCAGTGAATGGATGAAAAATGCTAATGACCCCCGAGCTAATGTAAAAGTGACGCACTCGTGTCACTCGTGAGCAAGTGAGCTCTTCGCAGTGAATTGTCGAGTAACCCCAATGCAAAATCTGAGAGCTCCCGCCCTAATTGCACAGACGGCCAGATGGACAGACAGAGTTTATCTAGATTCAGAATTTCTTATGAATTTTCTGTTTCTTCTACAGTGTAATGCACAACGTCTTGACGAAATGAACTTAACCTCATTCTTATAAAGAGGTTGAAAAGCGAAATTCTGATTTAAGATTTTATATGCGTAGATATATATTAATAATAAAATATTTATTATCTAAGAGATGTTTATGAATGATGAATTAATGAATGTACCTTACTTTAATAAATGCATGCAGTAGTAGACTTACCTTTGACTTTGTAACAATATTTGAGGCCAATTTAACAACGGCAAAGTTGCCTTTACCGATTGTTTTCTCCAAATCATAAAAACCGACTCTTAAAAGTTTATCCACTGATATTTTACTTGTCGAGGGTACTTTATAATTTTTTACAGATGTTGTTGAGGCCATTTTTACAAAACGCCTACTCGTACTTCTTTCTTTAGCATTCACTCACTCACTCACTTTTAATCTTTGTTGTTATTTTCTGTTTTTGGAAAACTTGCATTAAAATCAAAAATGAAAACAACTTGAAAAAGAATACAAAACAAAATAAAATTTAAAAAAAAAAAAAAAAAAAAAACACAACTCTGTAGATTTTTGCTGCTTAATGTTAGAAAGTGTAATAATTAATTAGGTGTGTAAGTAAGTAATAAAGTATTTTGTTGACAACTGGAACTTTTTTCTCTGTTTTTTTTTTTTTTTTTATATATATATTTGTTTGTTATAATGTATAGAAGCCGTATCGTAATAGATGTGTATGTGTAACGTGTATACGATTAATGTAAATTTTTACTGCGTTAGGCTGATGTGATAAATGCTGGACCACGTAAGCAACATCACTGAATAAGCTTTCGTATAAATAACGAGTATAAACATATACTCGTTTAATTTACATCTTTTGTAAATGTGTTTAATACGTTTTGTTTTGTCTCGCGCGTACCGTCGCTACATTTTATCTACACTATCGCTTGAATTACACGTTTCTTTTGATCACTTGATGTTACGGTCTACTATTGTTATTTTTATAGACATGCATCTTTCATACGCATAGACACAACACAAAACATCAATTCATAACCGACCGACGTCGTACATAATAATAAAATAAAATTAAGAGAATGAAAAAAAGAAAAAAAAAAAAGGCGAAGAAAATAAGGCTTTATCTACTCAAAGCGAATCTTGGATACCCATCGTCTTCTGGAGTAAATTTAAAAAATTTCATTTTATGAATGAATGTAAATAGCTAATGGATATCTATGACTCTAGTAAACGCTTGCTCTTACATCATTCCAGTGTGTGTGGTTGGGTGTGTGTGTATGTGTGTGTGTGTATCACAAATGGATCCCATGACGTTGCGCAAACTTTACAAACTTTATATTTCCATTAAGAACGGAAGTAAGTATCAACTTTTAACTATCTCTCTCGCCTTCTTATAGGCCAGGGACAGATAAAATGCAAAGTAAGAAATTCTGACCAACCAAGCACTATATATAGATTACGCGATTAATATTTCTTAAGTGTTACCAACAAAATGAAAAAATTAATATACTCTACTCATTTCATAGTCATGCAAACAAAAAAAAAAAAAAAAAAACAAAGAAAAAAACATAATAATAATAATAATAACAATAATAATAGCAATAGCAACTTCCCTTTAGCCTTATGCTTGGCTTTATTATTATGGGCTGGTGTCAAAGTGTCTCAGAGAATTTCATCACATGAATTGTCATTTCTTAATATTCTATCTTGAATCTTCTTCTCCTTCTGCTTACGCGCTTTATACGGTATTCTGGTATTCCACTTCACATCATTTCCTTCTCTTTCTCGCTTTATTCCGGTCAATCTGATAACTGACAATAATTTTCAAATTATGCTGTCGTCTAAGCTTAAATTCATTAATAAAATGCAATTTGTTATTAGAATTATACAACAGAAGGCTTATTCATTTCATTATTCCTTTTGTCGCTCGCAATATTCGGACATTGTTTATTTTGTACAAAAAATATGGAATGGAAACTTAATCTTCGCTATCTGTCTTATTATTATTATTATTAATTTCGCCAGAGAAATAAATTCCAAGACTAAACTCTTAAAAGCACTGGCATCTAAGGCTTTCATTACAAGCATGACAATGAAAGATGATCAGAAAGCTAACACACCAAGTTACATAATACTTTTTTTGTATATGTGTAACTAAGTTACGTACTTTGGATTAGTGAGATATTTCAAGTTAGTTTAATTACGTTCAGTTGTTCAGTCTGTTCAATCTGAGTTGCAGTAATGGTGCACACTTTTAACATTTTTTTTTTTTTTAGGATTTACATGAAATTACGGTATAAATGCACAAACGAAAACAGTAAACGCTACGACATATAGTGGGACAGTCAAAAAGTTTTCTATGCGTGACCTAGTAACTTTCGAAAAGAAAAAAAAAAAAGAAAAAAAGAGGCTTCCTTTCAATAGTTTGAGCATGTGTCATTGGCATATGAAGACGACTCGTCGTGGCAGCCCACACCACATATGAAACATATGAACTCATGGAAGGGAACTAGAACGAGGCAATGGAAAATTTGAAAATATTTTGATTTGAAAAATATTTTGTCCATTTGAAATTGTATAATAAAATTTTTTTAATACTCACCACAATAAAATGGGAGTTATACCCGTTTTTTTTTTTTTTTTTTTGATAATGTTTGTAAACACCCAAAAAGTTGACCCTGCAAAGTATATATATATATATATTCCTGATCAGTGTGAAATTTTGTCTGTCCGTCCATGTGGTGTTGTGTTGTTCACACCCTCCTGGTCGTAAAAATGCAGATATCGATTTCAAATTTGGTAAAAACATTGCAAGTTTTTACAAGCATTGGTTGGCATTGAACATAGAAGCCCGCAATGGTGCGTAAACCGAACGCAGCTTAGTTTTTCTTAACAAAAATTTGTCGGTTTTTGCTCGTTATTCAGAAATTATGAAAGCTTGAACGCTGAATTTTTTCACATTTACTTCACGAAACACTCTAGGCTTTACTGTTTACAAAAATGGGTAAAATCGGCCATGCCCAGACAAAGTTACAAGTGATCATTGAAAATTATCATTTTTTTCACTTTTTTGAGTGTTAATGCTTAATTATCGTAACACAAACAAGACGAAATATTAAAAACGATTTTGTATATTCCTCAAGTGAAGATATATATTATCTGCCTAAAAGTGGGTTAAATTCTAAAATGGTAACAATAGATGCCGCGATTATGCTTTTCTTAATAATACCAACGATATGGGTATCAAATAAAAGAAGCTGATGAGCAGAATGTGCAAAGCGTAATGGTGGGTATGGAAGATTCGGCCATGGCCGAACATAACTTTCTTGATTATTTATTATTAAATTTTCTTTATTATTACTTTTACTTATTGCTTATTAAGACACTTAATATGTTTCGCGTAAGTGAAATCAAGTTAGAAATACTAGAATTCTGCGTGAACGCTGAAATGGCAATGGAAATCTTTACACGAATTTTATATAGAATGTGATAAAAGATCCACTACTAGTGATGGGTATGCAAAGATTCGATCCAAACGGAATATAACTTTTTCTTACTTTTTTTTTTTTTTTTTTTTTTTTTGCAAATTAACCGGCATTGAATACTTTTTAATAATTTTTGCAGTTTGTATTTAATCAAGAAAATGTCCGGCATTTTCCTGAAATATCGGTGATGTACGAGGTAACATGTTGTTGTGTATACAGGTGTGCGTTTGCGATTGAAACGATAAATGACTTTGTCGGATTTTTATTAACACATAATCTTCCGGTTATTTGCTGCTGGTGTTGTCATTGTTGTTGCCGTTGAATTATGAATTTATTAAAAATCAACTTTATTTGTTACGTTTATAGTTCAATACCCTGCTGCTGTGTTAGTCATAAAATAACCAAATATTTGTTATCGTAACTGTAAAAATATTTCGTCAACTAACCTGACATTGTTAACCTGTTTTTACAGCAGCAGCATTCAATAATTGAATAAGTACGTCACAGATTGTAGAGATATCAATTGAATTAGTAACCGTATAATTTTTTGCGAATTTTTTGCTGAATGGAATATTACAACTCTGTTATAATATGCAAAAGTGCAACTATGCGTAAATTGCAAAGTGATTAGAAAAACATAGATTGATTGATTGATCCGCTCCGAACGCAACAATTTTTGTTAAGCAAAAGT